CGGCGGCTGGCGGCTGCGCAGCGGGGCTGCAGGCCGGCGGGGCGGGGTAGGTAGCGCCGCCTGCTTACTTGTGAAACAGAAAACAAAGTTTTGTCAGTAAAAGCCCTTAATGAGCGTTTCTCCAGGCGCGTGCGTATTCTGGAGAGGGGACCCTCCTTGAAGGGCTCTCCGCACCAGACCAGGGGTGGTAAGACCCGCTCTGGAAACCCCCGAGCTTCAGGTAGCCTGTAGGTCTGTGGCTATGAAGGGTTACAAAGGACGCGCTTTGTAATCTAGGTGTGATGTAATGCACGTAATTAGCTGGCCCTGCCGGGTGGCCGGGAAGGACATCTCAAAACCCACCGACCTTCCCTCGGTCGCTTCTCCGGCAGTGTTGGGGCCTGCACCTTCCTCAGCCTACGGGGCTTTTGAACCAGCCCCTACCTCCTTACCCATCTCTCCTTGGCCGTATTTGCACGGGCACGGCAGTCAAAACAAGGTTTTCCTTCCAGAACATCTTTATGCACTTGTACCTTTTATAATACAGGCCACGCAGAAAGGAAGAAAACGACGCTGAGAGGAGCCGATGCCTGCAAAGGTATCTTTCCAGGCAAGGGCCAGCCCGGCCCCTGTCAGCAGGCAGGTCAAGGGACAGAGCAGTTGAGGTTCTTAAGACATAGCCCACGTGGTTTTGCAATTGCTGGAGGCCCTTCAGGGTAAGTGGGTACGTGACTCCCGTGGGGGTAAGCTTGGAGGGCTTGCGGACTGATCGTAAAAGATGGTGCCTGCCCCCATGCTTTCCTTACGTTGTCTTGATGTCCGCTACTACAAAATCCACCTCGCTTTGTGATGATGATAGCAAACATAGTGAAAAAAATCATAAAACTGCATGGGCTGCTACAATGAGCTAATGCTTCCTGCAATTTGAGTCAAATGTTGGGAAAACTGGAAAACCCTTAAACTTCAGCAATTTCTGTTTTGCAGTTAAACAAAAAAATTGTCCATGTCCAAGGCTGGTGATAAATTTTTCAAACAGGGTCATAAAAAATGGGAAAGGTAGTATGTACATGCGGTAAACACTCCTAATTTCACTGCCATCTGAAAGATTATTTTCCATGGCTCTTTCATGGGGAAACACATGGAATGGTTAGATTAAGCACTACTAAAAAATACAAAATTGCTTGCAAAACTGTATACAACTATTTAAAAGACAAGCAGAAATGTCTGAAGATGAAGCAGCAAGTGAATATTTAAAACAAGCGTATTTTTAAAAATGTTTATTGAAATGCCTTCATTGCATCATGCAGGATACAAAAACCATTATTAGAAAACCTTTATAACCATACTTAGGAGTAAAATCAAGATACATCAGGGAAAAATAATAATTATATAAACCAAAGCAATTTATTTCTGATAGTGTTTTAAATCATTAGATTACAAGCTGTGATCATCTGTGATCTGCACAGATGATAACAATTATCTTGCGACAACAGTCCCTTCTTTCATGAATCAAGTTGAAACTGATGTTCGTCATGCTAGAGCAACCATATCACCTGTGTATACCACAAAAAGTTCAACCCGTTCATTACAGATACAGGGTTTAAAAAATATAACAAAAAATATTCTGCCAGCATACTTCTATTCTGCTTTCAGTTTTTTTATTTGTTCCATCAAAAGCCATTAACTTTTCATCAAGGAAAAAAAAAAGGCTAATGTGCTTTCTTCTATTACACAAACCACATAGCACATAAGTTTGATTACTGAAATAGAACCTCTGTAAAGTCCTATTATAAGAGACCTTCTTGAAGTTCAATTAAATAATTTATGTTTTTGCAATATTACTCAAGGACTTGGAAGTGATTTTAAAATGGGAGGCCACTGCACCCTCAGTATATTTGTTGTTTTAGGAATCTCAATCTCTGCTACTTAAGATTTTCAGGGTTTTTTATTCATACACTGCTTAGTGTAAACTCTCAGAACTTGCCTCTCTCTTTTTATTCTGTTTGACAGCATTGTTCTGTGCAGACATGCATTTAAAAAAAAAAAAAAAAACCACAAAACTCTCAGGGGCTGAAAACTTGGCTCCAAAGAATTTAGGTAGGTAGGGATTTTGATGCTGGCTTCAAGGGGACCAATGTTTGAGAGGTTTCAGTAGACCGTTCACGTGGCACAGAGTAAGGTTAGAACCACGCTGGGACCCTACTACGTAAGAGAAAATTGCTGTAAAAATCCCCTCCTTATGAGGAGGTTAATACATGTGTTTCCATTTCATATCCTTGTGGAAAAAAACACATCGTTATAAAGCTATCCTCCTCTTTTTTTGTTGAGCTCCATAGATGCAAACTTTAAGCATAACAGTTGGTGTCACTGGGTGTTTGAACACACAGAATATCGTAACAATTTAATTTCTTTAAAAGTCATGAAGAGTTTTGGCACTGTCCCCTTACAGAAAGTTAGGTACAACTAACAATTTGAAAACATTGTAAGGGAACCATATAACTCTTTGGCTCTGTTGTAATACTTCACTACTAAGGCAAGAACTCTGTGTACCTTAGGGTTGCTCTTTTGTTTATATTTTTATAAAATACTCGACTAAAAGTTTTAAAAAGTCACCTAATCATCTATAAATGTCAAATGCTGCATATTAAAATATATGCTTATTACACCTTTTTGTTCCATTACTAGAATTTTTGCATACTGATGAGAACACACACATTTGTAAACTGTTTAGTATGAGTTTACGAAGACATTCTCCGCATAAGAGAATTTGTAGAGAATTACCATTGAATCAAGATGCTGTAATTTAAATTGCCCGATTATCCATTCTGGAGCACTACGATTCTCCCAACAGCTTTAGGTCTTCCGTTCCTATAAAGATCAACTAAAACAAGTAACAAGCCCCCCTTTTCAATGCATTTGTAAAACCGTCTCATTCCGAGGTTTCGGGTGCACATCATAAGGAGGACCTTTCAGAGTGTTCACTGGCTTTTCAGATGTCACTGCGTATGGCTAACTTCATATGTTACGTTATTGCAGTATGCCCTGTTGCATGCCCTTTTATTATAACATGAAGTGGGTGTAGCCTTCTGCGCCTGTAACAATAACATCCATCCATATCCTCATGGCTTCTGGCGAAGGAGCAACCATATAGTATATCCGGTCATGTGTCTTGACACTGAAAGTGAGCAACGGGTTGGGACTCTAAAACAAAGCAGAAAGAAGGGTAGCAAAAGAATGAAATCAAAAGCCATTTGTTGGCACCAGAAGTAAAACTACTTACAGGGAGATTTATGATAAGGTTAAGGAGACAGACAAAATGCAAAATGCTGTAGCACTGCATCCTACGTTGCAGCACTGGAAGCAGAGATGTGTTTACAGTGTTTGCGTCCAGCATAAACACTTTTTACGACGTATTTCCACCAGACTATTACACAGTAGTCCCGGGCTCCAAATTGTTGTTTCATGCCCAAACAACTGACTCCCCCACTCTGTGTCCAGTGGTCAATACCACCTTGGCTTTCACAATCCACGTGCCAAGGATATATTCGGCTTGTTCACAGCACAGTTAAATTACAGATGAGAGGCTGGGGGTGCCGTGAGCTGCGGGCACCAGTTAACTCCCTCCCTGACAGATGCACACAGCCATCCCTTGGTTTGCCAAAGCCACTGATTTCAGCGGTCTCGCCACTGGACTAAGGAATTCCTCACAGCAAATCCCATGTGGGACCATCACTTGGCAGGCAGGCGCTCCCTTATCTCTGCTTTCATCAGTATAAAAAAACCCTCAGTGCTAATCACTGATCTGGCTTCATCTTCCTTTTCCTCCACTCCGGGGTTTTTTTGTTTGTTTGTTTTAATAGTGTCAGCACTCCCTTTGACTTTACAGCAGCAGCTACCATACTTTGGGTATTGCCATATGACACTCAGTTAAAACAGTAACAACAAAGTTTACCTTATATGCATTCTTTAGATGATCATAATAGACTTCTTCAATAGCTTGAAAATATATTACACCTTTTAATTTAGTTTCGTGTTTGTCTAAAATGGAAAAGAGAGAATGACTTTTGAGAACTGAAATGAACAGTACTTCAAGAAGCAAAAGCTTAATTTGCATTTCCATATATGTTCAGCTGATAAGTAACTGGATTAACACTTCTGCTTGTGAAATTCCACAGAAATCTTCAACCTTTCTTACTAGTTGGTCGGTTTTGTTGAGAGATGCATTTCCTACTTTAATATGTTTTCTTTTCTACCTGGTTTCTAAGGAAATAAAGCTTTTGCAATTTCCTCATCTATTTGGAAGTGTCTAAACGTTATGGCCGGTATTAGCCAACAGAAGGACAGATGTCTCTGAGATACATCCAATCTTCCAGTTCCATGAAAGCCAGCCAGACTTCACATAGCTCGCAGGCTAAGACCTACAGTTTACCTTCAAAGGAAAACTGTTACGGTAAGCAAATTTGAAATACAATTTGATACCAAAAGCTTTACATTAGATCATCATTTGTGCTTGTACTTATTTAAAAAAATACTTCTTCCCGTTTATAATAATCTCCCTCAGTCTCAAGCTAATACTTATTATTCAGATGTGAGGTTAGCAGATTGTAGGCAAGTTTCTATCAGCTCTGACACACGGAAAAGTTTACACGAGGATAAAAGTTCCTGGGCACCAGCTGCAGCACCATAATTGTCTGTTTGCACTCTCCTACTCTGACACCCAAGGTAAAAGCCAAATTAATTGGACGCTGTTTGCCTCTGTTGCGAAAAGGAACCTCCCCATTTGCTTCAGAGCGCCCGAGGTGAGAACGCCTGAATGGATAGTTACTCCGGGGAGGCTGCTGACAAGGAGTCGGTTGTTATCCAGTGGGACTGTGTTTCTGGTGCCAATATCCCACTGCAGCAAAGCTGCAAAACAGGGTGGGAGTCTTCTCACTTGAGTTTTGATATCTACAACGGAGAGACAGCAGACTTAATCTCCCTTTAAAGGCAATGGAAAGAAGCAGACACTTGCGGGGGGTCAATTCTAAACTGTTTTAGACATCTTCTGATATTGCCTTCAGTCCCAGCATTAGCTAGTGAATCACTAGGGCAAGGAGGATACAGACTGTGAACTTAATGTCTTAACAGTCACAACTATAACGTTTCACAAGAACAAGGTACAGGGCAGATAAGCATCTACAGTACCCTCTGTTGTTCTGCAGTGGAAGAGAAATTGTTAAATAATCCCGGGGGGTGTTAAGGAGCATCACAACTGCATGTGACGCTGAAGGGCAATCTCCCTTCCACTCCCAGTACTTTCATATTAGGGGATTATAATGCCTTCTGATCCCAAGTTAGTATGACCTTAACACTGAACAGTCACGCAGAACATCTTTATCAGTCCCGTGAGAGAGTCTGCTGTCATTTTGAGCACTCGCGAAACTCGGCTTACATCCTATCGGTAGCTGCAGGCAGTTTCCAAAGCTTCATATGATGACAAAAAGAAATCCCAGAGACCAAATGATACAGTCCCTGCCAGCCCCCGGGGGACCAGTAGAAGTACTGAGGTATAAGATTACGACATTATAGCACACATTATACTAAGCTAAATGCAATACTATGTAAATATACTGTCTATGCAGTACAAGCGAACAGTGATCCATTTCAAGCCCCACCTGGGGTCTTGGTTACAAGAGCATTTCAGGTACCCACAAGCTCCCATCGCAACAGTCTTTGTAGAGTTCCCCGTATGCTTCAGGTCAGAAAGTGCAGATGCTTCAGTCGCTGCACTAAATTGACAGACCTTAGGGTAAGTTCTTTGTTCAGTACACTTGCAGAACTAAACCAATATACCAGTATATTCACTTAGAGTTCAATTACTCTGAATTTACAGCATCAATATTTATTTTGGAAGCTTACTATATATTTAAAGATCTAGACGGATCCTCACTCGTACAAGCAGCTGCATTTTTGCGCTGCTGCTACAGAATTCTCATGAAACTATGTTTGTTGGCTGGACTCCTTGAGACATTATGAAAAGTTTTCTTTGGTAATCCAAATTGCATTCTGGCAACTGCATTGCACTCAAAACCGAAACCGTTAACTATTAACTACTAAAAAAAATTAAAAAAAAGAAGATCCGTACCAGATGGAAATACTACTGTCTGTTACAGGGCTTGCTAACCAATAAACCAGATGTTAAGAACAAAAAAAAAAAAAGTTTGTTATATTCTTCATAGTATTACTGCAAACCAGTAAGAAATATTCAGTGGGCATGTAAGGAATGAATGTAATGAATTCAGGTATGTGTTTTAAAAAAGATGGACTGAGCAATGCATAACCCTGCCATCAATTTTAAGTTCCTTATGAGTTGCTGGAAAGCAGTAATGTCATAAAAGGAAGTGGAACTGTTTGGGCGGTTTTTGTACTCAATGTTTTCTTCTGCTTCTTAGCAATGACCATCCTACATATGCCCCCTGTCTGACATCTCCTAACAATAAATATTCAGAACACAAAGTCATTTTTCTGGCTTCCTCTGAAACTTCAAAATCAAACCATGTGTAGTTTTGCACAGCAATCGGAGAGACATATATGTGCTTAAATTCCAAATTTCTGGGTTTACCCCAAGATAACAAATTAACGTAATGCTTATAATGGCTCCAGATATTGTATAACACAACTTAATGTACAGAATCCTCTTTAGAGTATTGCATATTGTTCGTCTGAAATTCCTTATACTCTCAAAGTATGGCAAACTCAAAAAAAATCTACTCCTGTATATTTAATTTCCCGAAAGACTTTTCAGCACATCAAGCAATGGGACTGCAGAAGCATTCCATTTAATTTTCATGGTAAGTATAAATTATATTCTTGTATGAAGGGTACAAGAAATCATTCTGTCATTGGGGGAAGTATATAATATTTAAAAATAAATTATGTGGAGCCATTATCCTGCATACTAGGAACCTGATGATCTTCCATTTTTTCCTCTTGCCTATCCACATCTCTCCCTTTGTCTGTTATGCTCATTTCTGTCTTACCTGGCATTAGGGTTGAACCCTATAGGGAAGGGATTGCATGAGCCCTTCAGTGTACGTATAAAACACCCAGCGAAATGGAAATGTAAGTTTTACTCGAGGCTCCCTACATGTTCATAACTCAGCTGAGGTTGATAGGAAAACAGAGGGACAGGCGTACCCTAGTAGTGATCCTGCAACCTACCTGCATAATAAGTAAAAGTTCTCTTGTTTCTGTCAAAAACAAACCATCGTTTTTTCCACGTTTTAATTTTTCCTCCCATTTTAATCAGAAAGCCTCGGCAGGTCTTCTCTGTGAGGGAGACATGGTAACAGGTCTCTATGTTGTGACCGGCCGTTTCGATGTGACTTCGTAGGTCAAAGTCTTCCTTTCTAATGGGCAAATAGCGAGTCAAAGGACGGGCCTACAGTAAAGAAAAGAAAATCGTATTATTTTTAACAGAAGTCTTACTTCTCCTTCCGTCTTTCTGCTGCAACGACATAACCGTAAACTGCCTGGAGATTCTAAGAATGAACATAAGAAAAATAAAGAGCTTTTGCTGCCACCCTGATTTTCTGTAAAAGAAAAAAAATCCTTAAAACTTGTAACTTTTCAAAGTGTTGGATAACTTTATAAAAAGCGAGATTAGAGCAGAGGAGTTTCTTGAAATCATCAGTTGATAAGCTGGTAAGCCAGGGGCCACAGCATAGAAAGGTTGTTTCAGACTTAAAACATTAATTAAATGTAAAGGTGTGTTGCTGCTTTAGATGAAGTATAAGAACTTCATTTGCATGATGTTAAGCAAACCCTTTATTTCTCTGGGCGAGATACTCACTACACATATCTCACTCATTAATATTTTACTGCTACAGGTATTTTCATGCCAAGTATAATATAAACAATAAGAACATGCTATTGCAGGAAAAATCAATAACGAGAGTGAACTGTAATCGCTATTTCACAGAGATTGCTGTGAACAAAATAGAATTATTTTCTTCTGAACAAATTAAATGTGGTATCTAGTTCACAGTCGGCAATACGGTATGGAGAGCTGAAGTGCACGCCTCTGCAAGAGACAGCAAAGCAGCACAGGAAACGGCGCCTCATTCTTGATTGCTGTCCAAGACTCCGCATCAAGCCTGGATAGTACCAGTAGGGAGAACAAGCAGGAGGTGGTGGTGATTTGGGACCTCTGCCAGCTGAGGAAATATGCTTGTTTTCTGTGCCTGAAGGGTCTGTGCACACACCCCCGCCCTCCATTTTAAACACAGAAGAGAAGTCTCCCAAGGCTCCTGCTGCAGTTAAGGCAGACAGAGGCGACATCACAGGGCGATTCAGAACAGAAGCTGAATTTAGGTGCTTTGAACGACCCGTGAAAGGAGCATCTCCCTCTCTCTCTCTCTCCCCCCGACTCCAGAGAAGTCAGTGACCTGAAGAATCTAATCTGCCCCTGCTCCATGCCTAAAGTTAGCCTGTTAAATCCCACTATGGGTCACAAATCAAAGGGACCTTCCGTCATTCCATTCTCAAGAACCTCTTGGCGCAATGGGAGCTGTGTTGCCCGCAAGAACTCTTAGCACCCTTCTAAAATTATGCAGTCCTGTATGATACAAGCTGGCACCAGCTTTGGCAAGTGCAAAGGTGGAGTTCCCTCCCCGAGCTTACGTTTCTAAGTGTCAGGAAGTGCTGAAAAAAAAAAAAAAATTTGGTCTCACGGTACAAAGGAAAGAAAAAAGTTAACAAAAAAATTGTAGTTATTTTTGACAGATATGTTTTGTCTTCCTGCCAATTCAGTCTTCAGCCTCTCTGCCAAGTCTGCCAATTAGCAGTAACTGATAGGGCATTTTATTACAACACATGCACGCTCCAATTTGGGAAAAAGATATAAGCATCACATCGTTGTTTATGCCATACTTCAGTTGTCATTAAAATGTGTTAGAAAAAAAAAGAAGGCAGTCAAGTAAAGTATGCATAAAATTTAACATTTGGTAACTACATTTTATATAAAAACAAAGGAATGGATTTATTTAACCAGAAACAGCTTAAAGTTCCTCTGGGGTTGTCCTATTGTTCTGATTTAGCGTTATCAATTAGAAAGGCAAGTTATGTAGGAGTGTTCATAAAAAAATAATATCATGAAACAAATATTTAGCAACGGTAGCACAGATAAAAGCAGAAAGATATTCAAACATGATATGGAATCTTCTGCACTCAAATACATATATTGATGGAGACATTGTCTTGCTCTACTATACTAACGAAAAAATGACTGCCTAGTCTATTTGCTGTACTATGTAGATCTTATTAGTTGTGGTGGAATAAACAAATAGGTAAGACCTCTAAGCCTAAAAGAAAGCTCAAGATACCTCTAAATCTTAATAAGAAGCAAGAAGATGTAGGAGGCAACACTGTTTTAATTAAATAATGTTTCTCATGTTGTGTAGTCCCAGTAACATTAGAAAAATACAGTTTTCTCTCAACAGTAGATGTGGAGCTGGAAAAGCTTCTTTATCTGTTTTTTTTCGGGCAAATATTTGGAAGTGACAATTCACATTCCAAGATACTTTATGTATTAAAAGAAATTTAAAAAAACCCCCAAAACAAAAAAACCCAATGTTTTATAAAATTAACACACTCACAAATTTCTGTTGTTCAGGCTAAAAAATTCTGCTCTGCCCATACTCAGTAACAAACCTGATAGGATTAATATTTATACTTTAGATACAAGATGCTAAATAGATGTCTATGCTATTAGTTAACTTTAAATTAATACTTGGACATCTATCTAAGGCTCCAAGAGCCCAAACATACTTTTAGCAGCACAGTTACACCTCAGAAATACTAAATCCATCTATTCAACTGAAGTCATAGAATCATAGAATCATTAAGGTTGGAAGAGAAAATCAGTTCTGTTTACCATTGGCAGAAATACATTTAGTCCCGTCGTATATCAAGGGGAAGTCTTGCACTTAAAAAACATTGCATGTCAATGTATCTCACCTGTGCTCTTTGTTTCTCACGTATTTTGACTTCCTTTTCAATTAATTTTTGCCTCTGGCTAGTTTCTTCTTCCAATCTTTTCTCCAGTTGCTCTCTGCGGCGCTTCTCTTCTTCCAGAGCTCGTTTTTTAGCTTCCATCTCCCGTTCCTAAATACCACAGCACATGCAGGACTTCAATTATATGTGAAACTATAGTTGGTAATGTAATTTCTAAGCTAGGACTAAATCCCTTTTTGCCTCTGCCCTGGTTTCGGCAGGGATAGAGTTAATTTCCTTCCTAGTAGCTGGTACAGTGCTGTGTTTTGGATTTAGTATGAGAACAAAGTTGATAAGGCACCGATGTTTTAGTTGTTGCTAAGCAGTGCTCACACTAGTCAAGGACTTTTCAGCTTCCCATGCTCGGCCAACTGAGAAGGCTGGAGGTGCACAAGAAGCTGGGAGGGGGCACAGCCAGGACAGCTGACCCCAACTGGCCACAGGGACATTCCATACCATGTGACGTCATGCTCAGTACATAAACTGGGGAAAGCTGGCGGGGGGGGCCGCTGCTTGGGGACTGGCTGGGCATCGGTCGGCGGGTGGTGAGCAATTGCACTGTGCATCACTTGCTTTGTATATTATTATTATTATTTTATTTCAATTATTAAACTGTTTTTATCTCAACCCACGAGTTTTTCCTCACTTCTACTCTTCCAATTCTCTCCCCCATCCCCCTGGCGGGGGGGGGAGTGAGCGAGCAGCTGCGTGGTGCTTAGTTGCCGACGGAGGTTAAACCATGACAGCCTCTTAAGTAGGCAGAAATACATATCCAGCAAAGCGGACTGAGAATTGGAATCAGAATTGCAAATATTACCACTCTAGAAATGAAGGTGGTTCTTAAGCAGCTCCTAGCAGGTATAGGAGCAGTGCTGACCTAGCTTCTGATGGGATTTTGCCATCAGCTCACCCATTGAGAGAGCAGATATTGCGTATGGGCTCAAAGATGTAGCGTGAGCGTGAAACCAGACCAAACTAAGGGGGGAGAGGTAATTTTTTAAGTGCCTATTATGTGTAAAATATTTAGGGTCCAATGCTGCATTTAGGAGGATATTATCTAACTAACTTAGTTTTACTTATAAAATTACGCTTACCCTGGTCTCAAGCAGCCTAGTCTTTTCAGCATGCGCTTGTTTCAGAAGTCTCTCCATCTCTTCTATTCTTGCAACATTCGAAGTGCTAGCACTGCACAGAAAAAATCAGTTATTTAAAAGAATACTTGGTATTTAAAGACATATTTTACAGTCCAACATTAGACAGTTTAAGAATGGAGTTGATACTGTTCTAATCCAATTCAGTGCAGTAGGCACTAACAAAAAATGATGTATAAAGTATATGGTACGCTCTCAATGTATACATTCCCCATGCAGAGTTGTGAAAAATGCAGACTCGAGTGCCTAAAAATGCATCTTGTCAGGCCCCTGTGATCTGTCATCTTCTGCCAGATAACACAATATGGATGGAGGTGGTTACCATGTCCTAACAGAACACACTACCGATGCTCAGAGCTGGCATTAGCAGCCATCTGAATATACCAGCCTTTCTGGCTGAAGACTCTGTCTGTTTTGTGTCTCACTGAGTTCATCATCAAAAAATGCTCGATAAAAATAAGGAGGATTAAGAGGTATGCATGAAGGCCATTCAGTGACAGAGTAGTGTCAGGAAGGATCTACTAGTTAAAGTAACCGGCAAGCCAAAGAAACAAGGGTAATCACAAAGAGTGCTCGGTCTTGTCCCAGCACAACACAGCTATCACCTTTGCCTGTCCTTTTTTCTTTTGTCTCTTTTCTCCAATACAGTTTCTTTGTTTCATCTCAATTTAACAGCCATTTCAACTGTGGCATTTCCATGGCGTGCTCTCTACTTTATTTTTCATCTTACGCTGTTAGAGAAAAAGAGTTGCTGTTAAATATTACTGTATCACCATTGATGATGCCATTAGACTGAAGCACAACGGGAGGAAATAGAATGGAGTCAAATGTTTAGGGCAGAGAGAAACTTGACTTGGGATTGTACTGAAAACACTATCTGACCACTCAAGTGGAAGCGGGTCTCAGATGGCAGATTTGTTCATGCTACTTAACAGCGTACAGACCAACTGTGAAGGGACGCAAATATGCGTCCTGGACAAGGAAAAGAAAAAAGTAAGAACACCCCCCTTCCCTTTCTGAGCACACCTCTGACGCTTATGTCTGTAAGACCAGGATTTTTGTCAGAAGTGTGACAGTCTTCAGAAGACATTTCTCTGTCTGATACTGGGGCTATGTTTCATGACAGGATACAATACAATATAAAAATAACATACCTCATTTAACCCAAGCTTGCAGAAAAGGTGTAATCTATCTGAAGTATATCTGAACTCTAAAAGCTTATTGTCTCTGAAAAAAAATGAGGCCACTGACTTAGGTGCCTAAGCCTAGTTTGGCCAAAGTATGTTTAGTTGATGGGCCAAGAGAATCTGGGTCAAATAACTACAGTAAAAGCAACAGGGCCATAAATTAAAAGTAATTTGAGCAACGTGGAAGTTAGTTAACTGCAGTAGGTTTGCCCATATTAAACTGGTTAACACTTCAGCTTAGTTAAATTCTTTCCTCCTTGATTTGCTTATCCTGCTCACAGAAATCAATGCATAGCAGAAGATCACAATCTCTGAAACCTTGGCCATGAAAAATAAAGTTGCTAACGAACCTTGGAACAGCTACTGTTTGGCGAGTTGATGAATGACTACAGTGGTTCTGTTTCTTCTGTACTTTGAGCACAGACAGATTTTATGCATTTCCAGCAAAAAAAGTCTCTCTCACCTTATACAAGGTAAAATATATTTTAAATATGTCAGAACAAAGCATCATAAATTGTTTTCCTTTGAAGTCTGATATGACTAGAAAAGATTCTCAAACACCATCTAAAACAATCTGAATTAATTTTGCTTAAGGGAAGTTTCGTAAAGGAACATTAACTGCCTATCTTCCAAGTTTTATCCACAAAATCAGCCCATACTCTTTTCTTCCATCACCAAAGTTTGCCTTGTGAGAAACTGAAAGATCTGTTGCAATGGGTCCTTTTCTGGGTTTTGGATTGGTTTGGTTTTTTGATTTTTTTTTTTTTTCTTCTTCTGGCATTCTCTGGAAGCTGCAGAAGAGCCAGAGGGAGGCAGAAGGGCAAACAGCACCAGCCGAAATTCAACAGCTGTCGGGGCTCCCCCATCCTGGGCTGAAGATTCCACTTACGAGATGGCCCCGAGGTAGCTCAGACACACGCCATCTTCCTCCAAAATGGTCAGAGCAGCAAGTCAAAGACAGACAGATTTCATACCACTGCCATGTTAGATCACTGCAGAGATAAGAGTTAATTCCCAGCCTGCCTCCAGCTATCAGAAACTTGCCGACTGTGTATCTATTTAAAACAGAAATCTTCAAAACCTGAGTCCTAATGTTTTTACTTTAAAAAAACCACAAAACCAACCAACCAAAAAAAGAAAAAAGAAAAAACAACCCAGCCAGCAGAATCGGTGCCACTGGTATTTTCTGAAACCCTTAACATTGCAGTGATAAAGACTACAAGAGGAAATCAGTGAGCTGATAACCTGTTACAGGAAACAGATGCTGAATAAAACACAACATGCTAGCCAAAAAAGCTGTCCTTATGTTCACAAGGGATTCTTAATCCCGTGACAACATTGTACTTAATTATCAGCCTCCACTTATGCTTGTGAAACTGTCGGGGCAGGACTGTAGGCAGAAATGAAACCTCTATCATTAAAGCCAGACTGTCAGAAGAAAATTGTTTGCACACAATTTTGAGACTCAGCTGGACTTTTCTTTTAACACAGATCATTGATATTGCTTTTATCTGAGGAGCGGTGTCTGAGCTGACAGCCTCTGAGGACGAGAAAAGCAGCTGAGGGCTCTGAGGCTTTCAGTGCTCTCTTTGTTTTTACTGACCCAGAAAAGGGAGAGGGAGAGGGCAAAAAAGACCGCTGGAGGAGCCCTAAGTGTTTCAGCATAAGGCTCTAGTAAGTTAACATGCTGGACTTGCAGAACAAGTGTACTTCATCGTCGGCAAATGTCTTCAAGAAATTTCCTATCGCAGGAAATTCCTTCCCTGTAGTGACCAGGGAAGGAAGCTCAGGTGTTACCCACTCTGAAAAGAGCATCGACAACTTCGTAATTTCAGTTCAGGACTGACACCGATTTCTCTGTGGCCTTCAACATTATCACTTAGCCTCTCCATATTTTTATTTTCCATCTTTAAATAAACAGGTGAAATGATAGTTAAACCTGATTACGAAGGGCTACACAAATACTAAATATTATGCCTGTCTAATGATCTTATATTTTCTTAACCAGTTAGCAGCATTCACATTACCATAGCATCAGCATGTACATACTCTCTTTTTTCGTTATAACCCTACGACCGTTACCAGAAAGAAAGATGATTTACCTGGAAATGTTATCTGGTGAGCATGCAGATATGCTTGTCTCCATACTGTCAGAACTGTCTAAGCTTAACGTATCAAAGGCATGGTCCTTGTAACTATGATCTGGGTAATGGAAACTATTCAAATACACATTCGATTCGGATGCTGTTCTGCTGTAGAATTCAGGAGACTTCTGCCTTTGGTTTTCACAGATACGCTGATGGTTATACCCTACAGAGCACAGAGGAAACATTTATTTTACACAGAAACGTTGTGACCCAAACATAATGTGTTAGCAGCACAAGCATTTTGAGAATCACCTCAGTCCTAACTGCAGTGTGACCAAGGTACTACAATATTACAGTTAATTTCACAAGTTAATCGTAACTGAAATAAAATCTTTAAATACCTGTTTTATCTATGATGGACACAAATATATGCAGATTAGTATGGGTGACTTTTCAATATATATTCTTGTATGTGTATTACGAAAACTTAATTTGAATGAATGAAATTTTCATTTTAATATGAAAATTAGGCCTCATCTGCAACGTAATGCAGCTAAATTCAGGGATCTAGAAAAACTGACACTGATTAAAGAAAAGAAAAAGTCCTGATATTCAGTGGTCTTGAGTACTTGTTTGGTTGATTTTACTGAATGTGGATTATTTTTTGTCTGATTGGGGAACTTTGCCTTCTGGTAACTGCAAGTTAGGCTTTTAGTTTCAGCTGAAATCATATAGACTAGTTGTCACATCATCATAATTACTAGTGTAGAGGTACTTTCCTGGAGTTTTGAAACTGCAGTTCACCCTGCATGATTGAAGCAGATCCCTATAGCTCAATGACTGTAAACAAGAATAAGGTTTATGCAACATTTAAGTTCTTTGCGCTGTTATTTTTCCACAAAATCACTCTTTCTGAAAACCCATCCTTCTTGAACACAGGGAACTTTGTTTGGCTATGTGTCCTTTAAAAAAAAAAAAATTCTTCAGAATTATTTTTATCTCGTGTCTCCATTGCTCTTTGTAAATAACGCAGTAGTATTTATACAAACTTACAGAGAGGTTGTTGAGCTTGGCTGATGAAGAGGGGAGTATAATTACAGTTGTTGTTTTAACTGCTGAATTTATTTTACAGTGCCCTTTGAAGGTTTGTTTATGTGATTACAAATGCAACTGCACTGCTCATCTTTTCCTTCAATCAATGCAAGAAGTGAGACTTTCTCACAGTTCTGATACTCAGTCAAATTTATAATACTCTCTGCACATTCCCGACCCAAAATCTGAGCTGGTGGGAGAGTTGGAGATCAGGAGGAACTGTTAGACTACATGAAAACCTACCATTCGTACAGGAAGGCAGCCACTGACATTCCACATATTTAAGATAAACAGACACAGGAAAAATGCAGACAAATGTACAAACGCAGCAAAGTCCAGATAAAAATTTTTACTAGGCACCGCGAAGACACTGATGTTAGGAAAACATGCTTAAAGTGGGAATATTTTCCTGCCTTACTGTCATTCTCTGTCTGCACAGACGAGGTTACTGTCTGGTATTTTTTGCCATGCCGGAGTAGGGAGAGTCCCAGTTCAGGGAGCCAACAACTGCCGCTCTACCTTGGAAAGGCTATAACATTCTCCAAAAGGTATCTGAAAAGCATGACTGAAGCTGAATAATTAAAGCATATTATTAAGGAAATCATGCCCTGCAAGCATTTCCAAGGCAGATAGTTTCCTCTTTCCTCCTCACTTCCCTCTGTACCATACAAAGGTTTCTCGCAGACAATTAAAGCTGGTTTCTAAGGAACTAATAGGACTTTACTTGCCATTTGAAAGAACACTAAATCTCAATAAAAGTTCAATTGCACCGATTAGTAAAAGAGACAAAAGGGACACAAATACACCTCAGCAGTCATAGATAATAGCATCACACGACACAGATGTTACTGATTCACATGTGCAGTTTGGGGTTTTTCCCTGTTATTAGGGCAAATGCTGCTGTTATTGCAGATAAGCAATTACCTTTGATACTCGAACTTTTGGAATGACTAATTGCTCCTGTGAAATGGTTATCAATTATTCATTATGGAAAGAGAGAAAAAAATAAATTACTGAAAGAACTTTATTCAAGTGCATGTTTTTCTATTGAGCCCTTTGCAAAACCTTGACTACTCAGAAATCTTAATTCCATATCTTATATTTCACTGAAAAATAAACCCATCTAAAAGGCATAAAGAAACACAGCAGCTTTACAAACGCTCTCCTAAAGGAAAGTCAACATTCCATGAAGATAAAGAACCGATTTTTAAGTAAAACATTTATCAGTTAAATTTATGTAATCGTGCAAACGTAACTAAACACTGCAAGAAATACACAGTCATTAGGTCGCAAAATGAGACACATTCACAGAAACAAAGCAGAACGCGACGTTCTCATTTTCTCCCCATGCCGTAAGCAACAGGCAGTTCAAAGCTCAGGATCAGCTGCGTACTGGCACCGAGAAGCCTCGCAACCAACCTGCCTCCATCACAGCCCCACTTACGCATCGTGGAGACACAATCTGTTGCTTAAGGAATTTTTAACTGCTCAGGTGCCCATTCACAGAACATGCACGTAAAAATATTAAGACTCCTCGTAAGATCCAGCACTTCACGAAAAGCTTCCCACAAGCCAAGATTGTATCAGCCACGTTTAAGCTGATAACATGAGCTAAAATGTTTCTTGATGCATTGGCTTGTATTCTCTGCAGCAAAACAGTAAACTTAACACTGTTAACAGCCATACTCTTGAGCAAAATATTTCAAATATCCACAAAGCCATATCACTAAAGAAAAAAAAAAATTCCAAAGGAGTTATTGCAGAATCACAAAAACCAGATATGCCACCACAAAATTATGGTGAGGTCAGAAGTATAGGTGAAAGCTGTTATTGAAAGTGGCACTGTCAAGAATGTTAAAAAAAAAACAGTATTTCACAAGATCACAGTACATTTTCTTTTATTTCTATTCCCCCCCTCCCTTTTTTTTTTCTTTAGAAAGATTGACATTAACATGTCAAGATACATTTTTTTGTATGGAAACATGCCAAAGTAGGAAGCCCAAGTCTGTCTACCTTGTCATTGTCACCCACAGATCTGCAAAGATTTCTAAATTTTCTGCTCTACTTGTGTGGCTATGAGCAAAGCAGCAAAAAATTAGGCCTGCACAAAGCTGTAGCTCTGCAGATATTAGCATTAATCAGAAGTTTTGTTGTGACAATTATTTGACAGCAGGAAAAAAAGAATTTTTGAAGTGCTATCATTATTTAACAATTATTTTAAATTTTTCCAAGATTTTGGGAACTACTTGACAGTGCTGATGCAATCGGTACTTTTGCCAAAACATGACAATGATAGATACAGCCAGGTAAAGGGATGTTTTCATACCTTTTCTGGCTTTTCCTGAGTTCGATAAGAGAAAGAGCGGGGCGGGAAAAAAAAAAGCAAACTGCTTTGAAAAGCTTATAATTTGTTTGTACATATATACCTTGCCCTCAGTATACTGTTTTTCTGTAGACCTTAGAAAGAATACAGACAGTCATCCTGCTGGTACCTAACTTCTCTGTCCCAACAGTTTTGTTCCCAGTGCTGTGTCTGGTCTTGCATCTTAACTCCCAGCTCACCATTCCCTCTTTCCTTCTGGAGTCCATCCTGCGATCAATGGGACTGAATCAGCTAACCCTCCCTCCTCGCTCCCGCCTGTCCTTGCGCAGGCTTCTGGCACCCAGCACCTCATGGGAGCTTCCTGGGGCCAAGTTTCGACCTCTGCGGAGTGAGGTCTCTGGATTGTACCAAATAGCAGCTTCTTCATTCTTTTTTTTTTTTTTTTTGGACATGGTTTGCTTACAAAGGCATGTACACAGGAGGTGAATTTATAAATACAGTCCTTCAAAAATACCTCATGAATGGCTGCTAAGAAATAGCTTTTTCCACTAATGATATATATCAAAGATGCATCCTCTTAAACATTTTATAAGTTGCTCTCAGCTCAGGCTATGATTACTGACAGTGGCTGTTTCTTTCAAGAACAATTCTTGAACTCACATGACTGACTAAACACAGTTTTCGTAATCTGGGAATAAAGACTATTTAGTACTTAAAAAAATCTATGAAAATATTTCCTACTGGATCCAGCCTAAAATTTATTCATAGACATGACTTGTTCCTGCACAAAGAAAATGAGATTGAAATCCATGTTCAAATTCAAGTGGCTGTTCTTCATTTCCTGACTTCATTCTTAACTTTGAATTTTTCATCTCAGACTTTTACGCTTACCTTCTTGGACTGAAATAAGAAAAACTGGAGAAAGCATATTAGAGAAAACTCATTTTAGACCATCACTAGTTTAGCGATAATTCTCAGATAATATCTTTAAACTAGCTGAGCTGCCTCTTCCTCCAGGCACCATTGGATATACTTGTTTTCAGATCTATACGAACACGCCAAAACATCTGATCTAGAAGTTTGCTCAATGCTTTTAAGCCCTAAGGAACGCGGTAAGCTGCCAATACTGCTTCGGGAGCGCATCATCCTCTTTGTATAGCAGTTTGTGGCACACTGCACGATGGCCAGTGCTCCAAACTGAGCGGATGAAGCGGCATTTATCACGCGAGACCCTGGCTCTCCACTGCGCCCAGCACACCGAGCTCCAATGCGCTCGGTGCAGCTGTATGCTCAAGGCATCAGTAACCCGAGACCCCCATGCCGTTTGCAATACATCACCTTGAACACAGAAAACCGACGGAGTGAAAAACCTGTCAAGTGGGAAAAGAAACGCAAGGGAAGCAAGCAGTGGCTCAGTACACATGACAAGTCGAGAACACTTTTTATCTATTCATCACCTATTTCAGGTGAACAACTAATTTTTGGAGCGGGAAGAGAAGTGAGCGCATATTTATCAGTATAAGCAGTATCTATACATTTGCAGAGATCCACTGATTTGGTATAAAATTTTACTCCTCCAAAATATTCACTTAGTCTGAAAAGGCAAACCTGATCTACCTGAAGAATGTTTCTGTAAGAAATACAGTGTATTTATTATATAATAAACATTTATCACAGAGTGAAGGAATAAAAGAACATCGCCAAGGATGTCCACTGACATGACATTTGGCTTAGTTTTCAACGATGTATTTAAGGATGTCTGCTGAAATTAATCTTAGTTACACAGACTCAAGTCCTGCTGATTTTAGTGGAAGCCACATAAGATTTCAGAATTTTAATTGACAATAGTATTCCATTTCAGTTGTACTGTGTGGTATGTTTAAATACTACACCACGTTCTAAACATTTCCCAAATCTCACTGTCCCACAGAAATGCACTTTCTTTACTCATGACTTTGAAGAAAAGCTTGTTTTTCCTTCGCGCGCTGAGGATGGGTATACGGTGCTAGGGGAAACCAGAAACCACACCAAGTTGAACTCAGTCCCTTCCCTGCTCGTACCACGACATTCATGAAGGCTACGCCTACAAGGCTGAAAGGTGCTTAAAGGCTGTTTCTCTGACCCTTCTGTACAGCTGAATAGAAATACTCCAAGATCTGACTCTAGCCACCTGACTTGGACGTCTCTGTCCTTGCTGAGCTCTGCACTGCAGTGCATAAAGAGCCCTGCAAAAACTTTCGTGGTGTGTTACCAAGACAAAGGAGCTTTCCCCAACCTCAAAACACGGCACTTCAGAGCAAGAGGAAGCAGTTATACTCTTCAAGCTCCTCCAACAGCAATAAATTCAGGGAGCTCCATGTTGAACGCAAAGGGAATAAACCCTTCACCAACTACTAAGAGAGGTAGTCAAGCCACAAACAATCCTTGCACTCCTATATCCTTCGTGTTTTGACTCTCTTACTTTGCAAATCCTGTGAGAGTTCAGGTAAAGCACCTGTCAGCAACACTATTTCCCTGTCCTGGTTTCGGCAGGGATAGAGTTAATTTCCTTCCTAGTAGCTGGTACAGTGCTGTGTTTTGGATTTAGGATGGGAACAAAGTTGATAAGGCACCCATGTTTTAGTTGTTGCTAGGTAATGCTTACACTAGCCAAGGACTTTCTAGTTTCCCATGCTCTACCGACTGAGAAGACTGGAGGTGCACAAGAAGCTGGGAGGGGGCACAGCCAAACTGGCCACAGGGGCATTCCATACCATGTGACGGCATGCTCAGTACATAAACTGGGGGAAGCTGGCCGGGGGGGCCGCTGCTTGGGGACTGGCTGGGCATCGGTCGGCGGGTGGTGAGCAATTGTACTGTGCATCACTTGCTTTGTGTGTTATTATTATTATCATATTATTATCATTTTATTTCCATTATTAAACTGTTTTTATCTCAACCCACGAGTTGTCTCACTTTTACTCTTCCACTTCTCTCCCCCATCCCACCGGGTGGGGGGGAGTGAGCGAGCAGCTGCGTGGTGCTCAGTTGCCGACTGAGGTTAAACCACGACATTCCCTTTGGCAAAGTTGATGTTTCAGAATAGGCCATCTTCTAGAACTGCCCTCTTTCCTAGTATGAATTAATATCTTAAGGCTCTCTTCACAATTTAGTATTTCCATTCAAACCTTTGGATCTTTTAAAGAATAATCGTTGTCATCTAGTATGGCAGGCAGTATAGCACACACGATTCCTTGTGGCATGTGGCAAGTACTGTGCCAAGTGCCTTAACGAATACGTCTCTTATTGTCCCCTGCCTCTCTTCTTTGTCAGGCCATAATTCACTTTTGGTTTGTAGGGTTTTTTTCTTTTTCACTTGTAAGACAAGAAGTCTGCCTATACTCTTAGAATTGTCTTAGTTTTAGGCTGACAAAAAATGGAACGTTAAAACTGATCAATTTATTTTTAAAACTTTTCTCTTTGCCTGTATCAGGTTTGGTAACACTTTGTAATTGTGTTTTAGGTCGCATGCTAATGCTCTTTTGCAACCATTTTACAGAAATATTTCCAACTTTAAACGTGTGATCTCGCCATCAAATTTTATCCAAACCGTCCTTGCTGATTTTCAAACTGAAACAAAGTGTTTTCTGCACAACAGCATAACAATGAGTCTGAATGTACTTGCAACGTATTCCACCCTTGCACACACGTTACATCAAAGAAGCTTTCCAAGCTGAGCATGAAGGTCCTTTTGTATCACATCTGAAATACTTCAGGCTAAGTCAGCCACAACATGGTAGGTTTGTGGGAGGCCTGCTGCATAACTAAAGCTCAAAAACAACAAATCACAACTGGATCAGCTCTATAAAGTGAGCACAGTAAGTCATGATCCCGCAGCAAGCTTGTTCCATCCCTGTATTGAGTCATTTTGGTGCGTACGGCTGACCTCCGTCGGGCTCTTTGACCTTTAACAGCTGCTAGCTCTGACAAGTCCTGTAACAACAGGATAGATCTCTCTCAGCTCAGGCTTAGCGCAATTCTACATGTATTGATAACAGCGATGCAGATGCCAGAAAGAAAAGAAACTGACAGATGGCACGGAGGAGCAATTCCGTGTGAAGACGGGACACTCATGAGTAATGTATCTTGTTAAAGCAGAAATTAAGTGTATCGACTCAAGTTGACAAACGACAGACACAGAATCCCATAGCCTACAGGACAACGTTTCAAAGACATAACTTTCTTTTGAATCCAGAATTGTCGTGTCCCTATTACAAAAATGCAGCTATTTATCCACGATAGAACACCTCTCTCCTTTCCTATTTTGTAGCCCAAATATTTAAGACCAGTTACAACAGCACAGTTACAGATTTGCCAAGGTATCTCCGTCTAGGGAATTGCTTTGTCCAGGCAAAAAGTATATGCCGGTGAAAAACAATTTTTAAGATCACAACATGGAAAGAATTACAGAAAAAAAAAAGAAAAAAGAAAGCAACATGTAATATCTTTAATACATTGTCTCAAAGCCACTCACAGAAATTACCCAGTTAAACCAATGTGCATTTTTCAATATACTTTTCTTGTTTACTGGAGTATATTTGATGACCACATACTTCAAAACTGCATGTGCGCCTACATCATCATCTTACCATCTTATTTGGCGATATCTGCAAATGACATTGCTTTTTTCACCAAGAAGGAAACTTTTATTTTATAGCCCTGTTGATTATAGCAACACCAGTTTCAGACTTATTTTCTGAAAAATTGAACACTGACTTTCAACAGCAATGAATCAAATAAAAAGGTCTTACCTTTGTGCATCCTTCTCGACTCTGACTCTTTGGTCATGGTTGCCAGGCAGTGAGGAAGTACGCTGCCACAGCTGTTGCTCTGTCCTAATGGTAAATGTCCCTGCAGGAAATTTTGTAAATATGTGCTTAAAACTACACTTCAAGACTTCTTTTGTATCAGCAACTAATGGTAAAATAACTTGTTTTGTCAGGGGTATCAATGTCACGTCATATGAATCAGCCATGGATATTTTAGTTGTGCACAGTCTATCAGACCAAAATGTTTTCAAAGTAATATCTCCACCTTGCTGCTGTTTGTTGATTTACCGCGTCACAAGTAAAGGGTATTTTCACTTTATACACAACCTTATCTTTACCATTTAGAGGCCTTAGGTAGGAAGAAAAACAACCTGTTGTGTCTCTTCTAGAATCAATTTAAACTAGCCTGGAAATACAATCCTTGAGATACATTAATCATAAATGCAGGATTACTATTGCAGCACAGCATTTCCAGAGGTCAAAACAAAGGCTTCATGTGTATTTCCACATGTTAATAAACCTGAATTTCGTTCAAAGTCAATTTCAGGTGTGAATTTGGGGAATTAGGTAAAGCTTACAGTGCTACCCAGCCTTACCTCTAGCATAATATAGGCTTTTATACAGACATTCGAGGGGTATTAATAGCATGCAACTACGTACTTTAGATGCAACGCTGCGTCCAAGCGTAGCGCTATTGAAGTGCGGTGATACAGACGGAGTCGTTTTCTTGCGAGGTAAAGTATCACTCATGTACATGCATTCCCTGTGCTGCTTCTTTCGCTCTTCCAGATTTCTGAAATGCTTCAAATGTAATTTGTTACACAGTTTTGACAAAATGAATTGACCTACTTGCTCAGTTATGCACTATATGGAATATACTGAAGGTGGTAAGTCTGGGAACTTCACTGGAAGGAACGAAATCTAAAATACAGAGTACCTCCTGCTTCACAGTACTTTCCAGGATTTCTACAAATATCACATTAAAATCATCCTGATTCAGAAAATACATTAAATTCATGTGCACATTTTGTGTAGGTGTCCCTGTACCTTTTTTTTTTTTTAAAAAACTCAAGTCTAGTACAAGTGGAATCAAATTACAAAGAAAAACATTTATTTACAAGTTGTTCTAACGAACTGGTGGCTTAAAACCAATACAGCTTTTGAGAGGCATTGTTCAAATGTATATGAAAAATTAATTTGGGATTTCAAATGTAGCCACCTGTACTTCATTGCTGCAAGTCTTCGGAGTTACAATGGCTCCTAGACGTTAGTATTTGCCTCTGGATTGTTTATATAAGGCGAATTTTTGTTCAGTAACATTCTAAAATGCATTGTGCTTATTTTCAAATGAGCGGTGCCTTTAAGTGCACCACTCTGCAAGCAGGATCAACTTATGATCTATCATATCACTCCAAAAACTTCACATGTAAATCAACTTCATGGCCACCGTAACAAAAACAAGCAAACAAAATAATCCCAAGTTATCAGCTTTGAATCTGTTACCTGTTGTTGCCTGCGGTGTTTCTTAGCTGGCAGAGGTGGAGGTGTATCAGATAAAGGAATAGGATCTACATGAGTAGCCATGACCTCAGGCCAATGGACTGATGGAAGTTGAGCAATAGAGCGAGGAGAAAGAGAGTGAGGAAACACAAATCCAGAACAGAGAGGTGATCTTAGCTTTATAGAAAAAAGAGAAATTACACACAGAGTTTTCTTTTTGGAATTGCTCAAAAGATATGGCACATACAAGCTGCAGTTTTAGCACTGTGTTTGTTGGAGCGTTTAGCAGGAAAGAGATGTGTTGTATTGCCACTCTCGAGGCGTATTTAACTACCAGAAGCAGCACAGAAATGCCAGATTCTAAACCAGTTGCTGCCTTATTGCAACCCAAAGGTAGGTGTCTTTACATTCATAAGATTATTCCATTCCTTTAAAAGGGGATTTATTCAAAATTTGCTACGGTCATTACAAAGGCAAAAATGTCACAAAGAATGAGGAAAAGAAAGAGTAAGCACGAAGACACAGATTGGACATCCTCTGTGGAATAGCTAAGATACATAGAAGCTACCCATCTCCCCCAAATTCTCAAGACATACTTCTTCTACCACCTCACAGGAAAAAAAAAAAGCTACAAACCACAAAATTAACACCTAAGCACCACTGAACGAGTAATCATTAAATGTGTCCACAGGCCGTTTCTCCAAAGGTGCATTACATTACAGTGTTTGACAGGCAAAGATTGTCACTTATTGCTGCTTGGGTCATAAGTATTCAGGTTTTTTGGCCTTTGAAGTCCCATCTACATCATCAAAGACACTTTACAACTGGAGCAGTCCTTCAGCTTTACTATTAAACCGTTATCTGACTCGGTAACTGGCAGACGGCAGTTTGCCTTAGGGTCAATTTGTTATATGTTGAATCACCAAAAAAATAATTAAAAAAAAAAGAATAAAAAAAGAAAACAAAAAAGGCAGCCATGAAAGAACAATGCAAACAAAGGGAAATGTCTCTCAAACAAACCTCTTTATTTTGTGGCTGGCTCGTCAGCACAGCCGTGGAAGGCTCAGTGGCAACTGCTTCAGCATCTGTGGGGGGCTGGGTGGAAGGGGATATATTCGTGGAATTGCCATACAGCTCACTAATTTCACTTACACTGATATAGCCCTAAAAGGAGGAATTCAGAAGTTAAAAGGAGCAAAAGCCAAAAGACGTGCAAGAGTATTAATGTATCCAGTACGATGAAAGTTAGTTTAGGGTGATACAGCCAAATATTTGTTATCATTGAAATAATTCATCATAAATAAAATAAAATTATCATCAAGCTTTTCAAATGTTGAATACTTGGATTCTGAAAATTGTTCCTCATTTAAAAAAAATACATTTGTGTGATCAAAAAGCAAATGTACATTAAGTGACCAGAAGTCTTTACTAAAATGTAAATACCCTTTAGAAATTAAGTAGCTCTTTCTTGGGAAAGCAGATTGGAGGAAAAGAAAGGACAAATTTTATTCACCCTTTTTTTTTTTTCTCATTTCTCCCCCCCCGTGTTTAAATAAAATAACTTACGCTGATTCATTTCTTGCCTAACTTTTAAGCTAGTTTAAGCAAACCAAAAGACTAACAGAACTGGGAGGAACTTACATAAGGACAAGCCATTGCTACTCTAATTAAGCTGACACAACACCTTCCATTTGCATTGTCTGGAAGTTGCTTCTAACTTTGAGGTGTTACCAGGAGATTCAGGTAAGATGCTGTTAGTGTCAGCCCCATAGCCATTTGTCTTTTTTTTTTTTTTTTTTTTTTTTAAAAAAAACACAGGAGGTGATGGACTGAGGAAAGGCATGGACATCCAAGTGCGCTTCTGCCTGCAGAGAAGATTTATGCAGCCAGATTTGAGATATAATTGCAGAATACAGTTATTGCACGTGTTCTGGTGTTAACTGAATAAATGTTATTTAAAAAATAAAATATGGATTCTAATCCATGTTGTATAGGATGCCAGACTGTAAGAAGTCAAATGTCCTAACTCCTTATCCATCGAAAACAAGGCTATGCAAAAGGAAGAATAAATTACTGTCAAAGCAATGTCATAAAAATGAGATAGAAATATGTTTATTTTTAAATCAAGATGGTAAGCAGCTTTTTAATTGAGAAGGTGTCGAAGGGGCTATGTTTCTGTTACTGTACCAGCACACTGACATGCCAGCATGTATACTTTGGCAATTCAGTAACAGAAGCCGCAGACCGCTATAGTATTTCTTCTTTTCAAAAACGCATAAATTTAGCAATGATCATAGAAGGCAGGTTGAGAAAAATACCAAACCTATTACCATTAGCATAATTTTCAATGTATTTTATCAGTTATTTCAAGCAGATACACAATTCTGGAAAATTAAGTATCGTACTGTGAACATAGCACTCTAGAAATAGGAGGCAAATCTTGACTCAGATACCATTTGATGAGCTATTAAATGAGAAGGAGACTGGGTAAGATACTAAAGCTACCGTCTCAAAACACGGGGCCATATTACAGTAAAATAGACTCCAGTATGAATACACGTAAAACTTGCTTTACCATCTTGTAGTAGCAGTATATCAGTAACCAAAACTTGGCAAGTCTATGAATGCAATATTGCATTCATTTTTATAGAGGATAAAAGCACTTTCACCATGATGTGAAAAACATTCAGTTTAGACTCACAACCCCAATGGGGATTCACCGTGGGGTTAAAAAAAAAGCAAACAACAAATGACTTTGCTGTGCATTAGCTCAGGTCCCTATTAAATTAGATTAAATAAATGGTTTCAAGTCCGATTAGGCATCCAAGTAATTTTGACAACGCTGAACTTCTAAACAGCATTGATTTTTCTCGGTTATTTAAGTACTGGGATAAGCATCCTACCTCTTTACGTGAGGCCGTGTTACTTTCTATTGCTATGCATGCAGGGAGTAAGCTTCACAATGGATGGAAGGGAGTTACAAACATGTGCTTTGGTGAGGAGGGACTGTGAAACGTTGGACCACAGACTCGAGTGATACGTGAGCAACCGTGTGGTGAAGTTAACTTCTGTGTGCAGAGAGTCTGTTTAAGCCTGCGTGCCATTTGGTGCCTGATTTTTAAAGGTGGCAGAAAGTCAGAGAAAAATTAAACTGGACTGAGACAAACATAACACCTGGCAAGGAAAGGCATTTCTTTTATAGGAGAGAACCTATGGGGACACTGAGCATGGAACAGATAATCCGTGCTGTTCCTTCTCTCATTTACCTTAGAGTAAGACCTAACTGACTTCACTGCAGTGAACAGAATGACACCGCTGAATTATCCATTTCAACAAAAAGAATGTCAGGCTCACTTAATGTAGTTGCATTTTGAAATATCTGTGATTAAACAAACCATTACGTGGATACGAAGATAAAAATCAGAGATAGCACCCACTCTCTAGTGAGAGAATGAACAGACCCATCTGAAAATGAAAAAAAATGAAGCTTAGACTGGCCAGATGTCCTGGTGGGAGGTCAGATGTCCAGACCAGAGTGCCACCTAGGACACCGGAAGTCTAAGCACCTGCAACGTCGCTTGCAGTGAGAAAGGGTGCTCAACCCCACTGGCATGTGCTGGCGGCCACCCGGGTTCACCAGGAACTTCGAGCCCAAATAAGCAAGATCACGTTTCCCAGGTGCTGAGAGGACAGGTGGTTGCTTTGGACTTCAAGAGCCCAACTTCCCACAGTGACACCTACATTGTTAGATGGGGTAGATCTTGTTCAGGGCTTCGATACAAGCAGATCCAGCAAGTCCAGTCAGACCTCTTAAGCAGAAGTTAATGAAGCAGCCACAGATACCTGTCAGTGTATTTTAAATGCTAGATTTTCCACTTCTTCATTTAAAACTTCATGTTTATCTGCAATTTGCAGATTCACCAAGTCAAGTCAGGAAGATAAATATGGTGAGTTAATGCTAATATCATATGTGCTGACTGAATCCTTGCAATGGGCTGTGGCTTACCTTACACTGACCTTGCTCACGGACCTTAAGGCTTAAAGTGGTACTCTGAAAGCTCTGAAGTCTCGGCAGCTGCAGGTAAGCTCTGGGTCTCATCATGCATTACCCAAACTAACTCAGTTTTTTTCAGCAAAAAAAATATTTGACACCTTTACTCTAACTATTCAAAACAGTTAAATAAATAATAATAAATAATAATAAATAGCTCAATAAGCAACTTACAACCACAATAGCCTGAAGTCTTTAATTCAATGCTTTTTAAAAAGATCAAAATGTACACTTGTCATGCTTTACTGCAGAGCCTTAGAATAAAGGAGGGGAGGCAATGGTGAAATCTACAGTGCAACAATAAGAGTGAACTGTATTCGTACTTGAACAGAGTTATTCGTGGACCTCATTCTTCTTCACTTCAATGAGGTTTAATTGTCTATTTTGAGAAAATTACACACCCCACTCCACACACCCCTTCCCCCCCCAAAACGATCATTTTTCCAGGGCAAGAGATTAAAGCGATACCAGTTACATCTGGGAAAATGTCAAGAGAAGCTATTTTTGCTCACCCATGCATTTGGACTTCCACAAATAGCTTTACGAAGTAATTTCATCACATCTCAAAAAAATTTGTATGAATAGGACTTCACTAAATACTGCAGTGCTTTTGTATGAAGTGTTATTAAAAGTTACTTATGGTAAAGTAAAAAGCAGTGAATCTCTTTACCTCTTTTAGACTATTGGGACTGACAGGAAATCCCTTTCCTCCGGAAAGCGTGGAATATTTCTTTTCCAGATTACAGAGATTCTCTTTTTCCTGTTAAAAACCAGACATTTTATATTATATACCAACAGCCGTGTAGTGAAAATAAATGCTAGCCATTTTCTTAAGTGTATAAAGAAACACACTGGCATAGAAGGCTGGAAACTGCACAGCAGAGCTTCGGCTTCATCCACTTACAGCAGAACTGAACAAAAAAATGGAGGTACAGAACAAAAAGCTAGTGAAATATTTTACTTAATAACCACAGCCAAACCAAAAGGTTTTTCCTTCAGTGTTTTGAAAGCTCTAGTTCTGCTTAATGAACTAAACATGATTTCTCTCATGATTAAAAGCAAAACAAAAAATGGACGTGAAGGGTTCATGCCAGCTTCTTATTAAGCAGATGTTGGCCAACGTTAAGTAGCTCATCTTGTGGCCTAGTATGGGCTATTACAAGTCAAAAATCTGAGCTGCCTGAACACGCTTCCAGCAGCCACACAGGGTGCACAGGCTTCTACCAGGTGCCTCTGGCTGAGTCCTCGGAAGGGGGACACCACTAGAATGCTCTTGATTATCAAATGCCACTAGTGTTTTCTTTTAGGAAATCTGCTGATTAATTACAGAAGATTTCTTTTTTATTAAAGGTTAATGGATACAAAAGATGTCTATCACGTCCATACCTTCTTGCTAGCTTCTGCACAACTGATGGTTTTCTCATGCTCTACATTCTTTTATTCTGTGAAAAGCTCTTTTATTACACGCTAAAAATATTTGAAAGACAATAAATACTTACCCTTTGTAGCATCATTATTAAGTTGTTTTTCTCTTTTACAAAATGATCTTGTTCTCTTTGTGCTTGTTGGACAATATGATTGGCCTGTTTTTTGAGAGCAGATATCTTTTCCTAATATAAAAAGAAAATAATCGCAATTTACATGTTTTATTTTCAAAGCACAAGACAACCTGCAGCAACGATCCTATTCATGAGGGTTCAACTCATTCATATGAGTGAAGCAGTAGGAAAAAAAATTTTTACAAGACAGCTTCCTGCTCTGAAGGAGAATAATTAAATAAGATTTAGACAATAAAGAGACAATTTATTCAAGACACAAAACAAAAGAACAATTGCATATATTCTTTGATAATATGGTGACTAGCATGCATATACTGAACAGAACTGGTTTAGAGATGCAACTTCTGATCTCTGAAAAACTGGTATTTAATTGATTGAGATAGGACCTTTACAACTGATTTTAAAAATTAAGGTATTTTCTTAATTTGGTGTTCTATTATTACTTTAACAAAATCATTGAACATCAAGATAAACATGAGCATAAAATAACTGTAGTTTTGTCCAGAGCGTGCAAATCTCCTTTCTTAAATAAGAAAAAACAATGTTTTGGTACTTTTTGTAGCAAATTAAAGGGCTTAATTTTCGTATGCAAATACACAAACAGGGCATGGAATTTTACTGATTTATTTCCTTTTGGAGAAGTGCATGATTTGATCTGTGTGGGATCGATCTGTGTGGGATGTTACTGGGCCATGACTTTTGCTCTGCTGCAAAAGCTTTTTCAAAGATGAAAGTTTTGCATTATTTCTTACAGATGGGCACGTTGTAGATCCATTTCACCTCCTTTATGCTCAACAACAAAGAACAAATGAATCAAGTGTTAGTGCTTTTACCTTTCTACCGACAATGCTACGCTGATATTCAGCTACTTCACGCAGGAGCTGTTGTGTCAGGTTTTCTTTCTCTTCATCTAACCTGCTTTCATGTTCAAGCTGCTGAAATTCCAAATCTTCAAAGTGTTTGCTTTCTATGTCCAATAGATCAGCATCCTTAAGCAAAAAAAAAAAAAGAAAGAAAAAAGAAAAAGAAAAGAAAAAGAAAAAAGTAATCATGCTTTCACTGACACCAGAGTAGAGATACAAACAAACACAAAAATCAGTCTAAAACAATGTTTACGTATCGCATACAACATGTTCAAAGAGGAGCTCAATGCTTTTAGTGACCTACCGTCATAATAAAAGAACAAATAGGGCTAATCATTATTTCTCCATCACTCCTACTGTTCCCCACCCTGCTGAGAAAGACGAAGCACCTGCATGGTGAGGGAGCTGGTTTGCAGCGTTCAGATCAAGCTGGAGCCTCTCAAGCACCGAGTGCACCTGGCTGGGCAGACCACTGCTGTAGCCTAGCTGCGACACCACCAAAGCCTGAACCCGTTTGGTGAGGTTGTCACGTGCCAGATTGGGACAGCATCTGCTTACCAACCAAAAAGGACAGAAAATATCATCCTAGTAACACCGGAAACCTGCACACTGAATTAACTAATCATGGGAATGGACGCTCAAACAAAGGAGTCTGAACTGCAGTTAGAGTTTCTTCTGGTCTAGCCCAAGTACCAGCACTGTTTTTAGTAACAGACATACGGTCAGATAAGACAAAAGATATGTGGAGCTGTGTGCTATCAGCACGCTGCCGTCGCCTCAGCAGTGATGTCCAACCATGCTGGTTGCTCAGCCAGAGGCGGCTCGTGGACCACCGAATTGGAGCTAACAATTGCTCCCTGTGCAAACACACAATCAAGGACTCTAGTCGTCCACCCTAGCCAGTAGGCGCATTACTTCAGAAGGGTCGTCAGCCCACTTTTATGCATTTCCCTGGACCAATGCCAGGTTTTGTCAGGAAGAGGTTGAATGCTGCAGAAAGGACCCAAGAAATAAGAACACACCTGCCTTCCACTTTGGGATCACAAGATAAAATTTACAGTGCTTTTTAGCACAAGAACTGAATGCTAATCTTTCTCCTGCAACATCTGTGTATTCATAACACGAATCCCCACTTACAAGTTCCAGGCTTCTGAATAAAAAGGGATTTTAAATAATCACAGTTATTAAATGCTAAAGCTCTCAAAAATAGGCACATTGCACATAACTTGTTACATGAGAAAACCTATATCCTGTAAGCAATTTATCATTTTAGAGAAATGAAAACTTAGTCCTTTTCTTATTTCAACCTAAAGGTTAGTGACTGAGATAGGCAGATAGCTCTCTGTAAAGGCATTCAAAACCAGTTTCCAGTGTACCAGGGAAAGACACAAGATGCAGAAGCTGAAGAATCCAAGTTACTATATGAAACACCAACATCTTCCCATTATTCTTCAAAGATGTGCCTTTCACTTGTAGGAGACAGTGAAGAGATCGAAAGCAAAGACGTGTGCTAAAAATTACAAGAAAGCGGTTACCTACAATACCAGCATTCAAAACAAATGCTAGGGCTTTGCCTGGGCCATGAAAGTCAACAAATTCAGCCATTTCATACCACGTTAATTGCTATTGAGGCAGAAGAACAGACTTCAGAGAAGGCAGCCGATAGCCTTCTACCGGAAAGGCAGCTGGTAGTCAGCTGAGCTCACGAAACGCTATATTCTTTGCGAGATGAGCTATGGAATGAGAACTTCACCACATTCTGTACCACGGTGTCCACTGGGGAAAAATAAACATGCCTAATTTGAAACCAAGTCCACTTTTAACTTTAAAACCCTCCAAAGGGTAAGTGGCAGTACATTAGCTCTAGCAGTGGTTGCAAACACATTGCAGTGAGATCACCAGGCAGGCAGACCCACGGGGACCGAGACCCCAGGCAGCCTGCAGGAGCAGGGCAGAGCGGCAGAGGCACGAGGTCTGGCTCCAAGATGTGTCCACAGAGTCCTTGCCATAACCTTCACAAGGATCCTACTCAGCAGTGTAGGATTTGTAGGAGGATAATTGTTGTTGCTGTAGGTAGTGTCTTCCTCAACCAAGTACAAGTATACTCTCTCCCTTTTATTACAAAAATTGACATCAAAATATTGTAACTTATAATCTATTAACAAACAACAGACACACTGTTTCCATATTGGATTTCCAAACCATAAATTTCTCTGGCATCTCCATTACTTCTGTATTGCCACTGGAGAAAATTTGGTGGGAGAGAACCTGGTCCTTACTTCAGGATGTGGTGGGAGGTCCATAGGCCCACAACACCTGCAAAAATTAGGATAATTTTATCTGAAGAGTAAGGCATTTCCTAGCACTGGACAGTGTCTTTTCAGGTCTCTGCAGGAATCCAGGCATCGATTCTCTTTCTCCTTTTATGCGTATCTCTATAAACCCAGACACGTGAGAACAAACAAGCTTTGGTGCTTTCATATGAACAGCGAAGGATGAAGCGTGCTAATCAACTAACTAAAAAAATTAATTAAATTAACTAAATAAGCCATCAGGAAGACCAATGCTTTCCCTGAGTGCCTTCCACAACCTCACAGGTTTCACCAGTCTGATGAAGTGTCCTCCCTGCCCAACAGGGAGAGCGTATAGTCATTATGGACACTGGGAAGCACACAGAGTAAGTATGCCAGCTGCCCACTGCCAACCCCAGCCCAAACTCCAGATGCCCCCCTGCAGCCAGCTGCTACAGTGAAATTGGCTGCCCGCTCCCCTGGGCACAAATTACGAAGTTCCTGAAGTCCCAGAGATGAAACGATAAGGGAATTCATCACCTTCACACCTACCACGTTGGCAGTAAAGTAGCACAACATAACCTGCTGCAAACTCACGTATTTAATCCTGGGCTGGGCTGATTTGGGGGGGAAGAAGAGCTCTTCTGTATTTTGGGTACAATACTTACAGTAATTTCATAACTGCTCTCACACTTGATATCCGTTTGAGAGACACTGTGCACTAATTCAGTCATAACTTCTACTGCTCCAACCACAGCAGCCGCAGCTAACTTTCGCTACAATTGGCCTGGAATAATGCAATAGGACCAACCGTACCTTTAGCTGCACCCCCACATTTCAAGTTTCATCCCACTTTCAAATCCAAAATTGTTATTAAGCCAACTGGAAAGGAAAAATAAATTAAAAAATTTAACCAAACAGATTTCTAGAAGCCTCCTGGTGGTCAATAGTGAAAAAGGATTTACTACCATCCCACAGCAACAAGACTGCAACTTCTTATGAATTTATACCTTCAAGTACGTGACTGCACAGGAAAGGCTTCCTTTCCTTTTAATATGTATGAGAGATTACATAATAGTGATTTTTAATTTTTTTTTTTAAGGTAACTTACAAAAATCCATAAGTGTCTCAAAACCAGTGAACTTCTCAGTTACTATAGAGGAGTTTAACACAGTTATTGCCAAAGCTGGACTTTTTTTACTTTTTGCTCCTTGAAAAAATAAAACAGAATTCTGCAAATAAACCAAAATCTAAAGAATATTTCCTGTAAAGCAAAAAAGCCCTTTTTTGGTCACTGCTATTACAGACCTTATTCCTGATATAAACACTCAAGCCAGAAAAAAAAAAACAAACAAAAAAAACCCAACAAAACCCCACAACCTAGTTTGACTTTCAGATGGCCTCTTGAGCTTGCTGAACTGATGCTTTGAAAATGATTTCTCCCCCCGCTAAAGCTAGCTATATGTGCTGTAAAACCCAACTTAACATTAATGAATACTAAAACCTTTCCACAGAAAATAACTGTACCTTCAGAGACAATATTGTAGCTTTTTTTGGTTACAAATAATACAAAATAAAATCAAGTTGCAATTAAGACTTTATGCAAAGCTTATTACACCAATGTGCAACTGTTGAAAATGTAGGAAAAAATAAAGCTATTTTAATAAGTGGTATAATCTTCAAAATTAATTTTTCAAAGCACAGTTCAGGCTAGCAGCTAAGTTTTATACTGAAAAAAAGAAATTATCCATGCCTTCACTTAGACAGCCATTTACAGCATTGCAAAGGAGGAGTGCACAACAGGATCAAACAACAGCGGCAGGAAAGTGCTGCTAAAATGGCTGATCCCACTGACCAAAGTTCAGCTCCTGTCTTGGCTCACACAGGGAAAGA